GAGGCGAGGCGCGGGCTGCCCGAACCCGCCCGCAACGGGGCCGTCCCCGCACAGCTCGCCTCTCGGGCTTAAACCCTGTGCCCAAAGTCCAGGAGGAACCACCGTGGCGTGACCGCTTCCTCCACGGGCCGGCGAGGGCGGCCCGGCGGCGCAGACCCGGCGGGGCAGAACGGGACGGCACCGCCACCCACACGCCCCCCCCAGCCCTGCTGTTCTGCTCCCGCTGCTGGTGAGAGACTAAATTAAACACCCCCAAAGTGACAAAAAGAGACAGTCCCGTCGCCTCTCCCCCGGCTGTGGGAAAGGCCGGGTTCGGCTGCAGAGCTGGCCAGGCACAGCCAACACAAACAAGCTGGAAAGCCTGAGGGAACGTGACATCCTCACCCACCCGTGGAGCACAGCCTGCCCTCAGTCCCTCCTGGAGTTTTCAGCGATTTTTGGACAAGCACCACAAGGTAGAACGATGCTTTTTGCTTTAACTATGTTTCTTTAAAAAACAAACGCAACGAAGAAAAAGAATGACTAGATTTTTGTTCACAATAATCTTGTCTAAAGACTATCTGCATTTTCCTCAGTAATACACAGAAAATAAAGTTTCCCCCATATTGCTGATGTTTCTAAGGAACTGCCTGACGATTTGACAATAAATACCAACTTTTGGTTGTCACAAAGAGCAATAACACATTTTTACAACATTCCCACTTTTAATAGTCCTCTAGTTCTGCCCTGCAGGTCTTGGACATGTAAACAGGCTCATCCCCTTCTGTGGAAACACAAATAGGAATTAAAGCTGCAGAAATAGTTTCCTGGTTCACACAACTCATAGAATCATTGAATGGTTTGGATTGGAAGGGACCTTAAAAGATCCAACCCCCCTGCCACAGGCAGGGACTCCTCCCACTAGACCAGGTTGCCCAAAGCTCCATCCATCCTGGTTTGGAACACACCCAGTGTTCCCTGGACAATCCCCCAGACAACCTGTTCCAGTGTCTCACCACCCTCATAGTGAAGAACTTCTTCCTTATATCTTATCTAATTCTGCCCTCCTCCAGTCTGAACCCATCACCCTATCACTATCATCCTATCAGTACAAACCCTCATAAAAAGTTCCTCCTCAGCTTTCCTGTAGGCCCCACTCAGGTATTGGAAGTCCACCATAAGGTCTCCCTGGAGCCTTCTCTTCTCCAGGCTGAACAGCCCCAGCTCCCTCAGCCTGTCCTCACAGAAGAGGTGTTCCAGCCCTCAGATCACCTTTGTGGCCCTCCCTCTGGATCTGCTCCAACAGATCCATGTTCTGCTTGTACTGGGGGTTCCAGAGCTGGACACAGGACTCCAGGTGAGGTCTCAAGAGAGCAGAGGGGCAGAATCACCTCCTGTGACCTGCTGGCCACGCTGCTTTGGATGCAGCCCAGGGTGCAGAGTTTGCTTTCTGGGCTGCACTCACACATTGTCAGCTCAAACTGAGCTATTCATCAACCAGCATCCCCATGACTTTCTCCTCAGGACTGCTCCCAATCCATACTCTACCTTACTATGTGTCAGGCAGCAATTAATGGCAAAGGAATGAAATGATTAATGGGCCTACAAGCTACAGAATCACACATCATGCCACGAGACCACAGGAGATGTGTAGATAGACTATGGATCTGGTAAAGCAAGTCTACCATCACCACTCAGAACATGAGAGAGTGTTGCTACGTGGAAAATAGCCAGCAATGACTTTTGCAGCTCCTTCTAGATGTCCTCCACCCATCGCATCGCTTGAAAAACAAGTAAGAAATTAGCACAGGAATAAGCTTTTAAACTGAGCTTTTATTGCAGAAGTTATCATTTCTCAAAACACCACAGCCACTGAACTTAGTGGACTACAACTGGGCAGGACTTTTGCCTTAGGCAGAATGCACGTGTGGGACTGGTGGAGCCAGACACACTGGTGGGTAGCAGAGCAGATTCTTCCTTGCCCACTTGGGTTGCTAAGAAAACAACCTGCAGATCTGAACAAACAGTCATGGCTTCTGTTTGGGGATTTCCAAAACCTGGATTGCCTCCCTTCAAATGTTATTTTGCTCACCGTCACTGAGGCAACATGCAAAGACCTAAAAATGCTATTCTCAAACTTCCTACTGACAAGCCAAAAAAATCTGGCCTCTGAAATGAAGCAAAATAGCCGTGATCTGTTTGATAGCCGTTGTTGAGAATAATTTAATCTTCTGTTCTTTTCACTTGAAGCATATTTGCACTCCAGATCACAAGCTGGAGTCTCCCATTGCTGCTATAACACCTTCATGGCATCTGTGAGCCCATCCAGTAGTTGGTAATAGCTGTACTTGAGGTCATATTCCATGTCGTACCAATAGTTCACTGAGGAGACAAGAGAAAGGGAAAACATTTCTAAGGCTGGCATGGGATGACTTACAAATGTGTTCACAGACTGTTTTACAGAGTCCAGCTAGTACAGGCTCCTCCTCATCACTCACTGAACTTTGAAATGAGCAGATCTCTGACTACAGCCAAAAATAAGGTAAGCAAACATTAGAGTCTGTTATTAGTGCTGCCAGTGCAACTCTGTCTTAACTCAAACCAACTCTTTTTCAGACTCTGTACTGGGGATTCCTTGGAGCAGAAGCTGCACAATATTTAGAAAGTGCTTTAATTCCCCTTTCCATTTTAATTTTGGTGTATATCTCACAGAAGAAATGAGCCATGCAGTATAGTACTGTGTAAGTGGTTCTTGGAGGAGGATATACTCTAGCTTCATTCACTGGGCCAGACACAGAGAACATTGATTTTTCAAATGCATACAGACTGCAGTGCAGTTAACAGGCCAAATAAACTCATCAAGTCTTCAGCATTTCTGCTAGACAGAGAAAAAACAGAGTGGCCAGAGGGATTGTAACTGGAAACAACTCTACATTTCCTGAAAAATCTTTAAGGCCTGATGCAGCAGTACTGGGAAAAGGGAATCAGAAATACTGCTTTACTGCTAGCTTGTCTTTTTACCACAGTATCACAAACACTGAAAAAAAAAAAAAAAAAAAAAACAAGCCAGCCTTGCAATATTTGCAGTGTTACTGCAAATACTCATGTCATGTTGTTCAAAATACTGTATTTGCTCTTCCTGGGCAGACAGGATTATTCCAGGTAAAGGACAGCAAAAAGCTCTTCCTCAAATCTTGCAAAACTTACATGATGTAAGGATAACACTTTGCCCCATCCCCACCCCTCCACCTGCACCAAATGAGCAGCGCTTGAAATTCTGGAACCCTCTTGGGGAAGGCAAAAAAAAACAGATAAAGGTGATGATGAATCCTACAGAGAAAGAGGTGACAAGTCTTGGTCTCAGTTATGCTTTGCTTGTTTTACCTGCCATGCAGCCGTGTGACTGCTGGACATGGTGGAACCAGAGAGAAGGCAGGTACAACATCTCCCCCGCTCTCACGGTGCACTGCAGAGCTTGTGCCTGAGAGTACTCTGGATACTGCTCCAGATTTGGATTCAAGGGGTCCAGGGGGATCCAGGGCACCTAAAAGCAAAAGATTACGTGTATGGTACTGACTCTGGCAAAAAAGTCCAGCCAGCTTCCAGAGAAACAACTGATAATCCTACTGGGTTCCAAAACATGTCTTTTCCCTAGCAAAACACATACAGCTAAAGAGCTTTCCACTAGCAACTGGAAATAGGCCAAGGATGCTAAAATCTGCCTCCCTTAATAAAGCACTTCTAATTAAGGTAAAGGTGTTAAATGTCAGCCATGACATTTCAGACTTGTGGAATACTCTTAAAACACCTCCAACCCCTTAAATCACTTGTCCCCTTAAATCACTTCTTCCTCTCACATTAAGTACCTGAGTATTTTATTTGCATCACTCTTTTTAGAAATTCCTTCCTTCTTCTAAAGCTCTCTGCTCTAATTTTATTCCCAGCAGCCAAAGCCTCCCTTCCTGCTGGGAAATCCCTCTTGCCTGAATTAATTTCTTCTGTGCCCAAGAGAGTTATAAACCTCAGCACTCCACCTGACTGTGTTACACAAATACTCCTGTAAGATTTCACAAGCACCACTTGTGGAAACAGAGAAAAATGCCCAGCTGAAGTTCAGCTGTAGCATTAGCCACATGTTGCAGAGGTGAAAAGGGAGAGATTAGATACAAAAGGCTCCTGAGTTCTTGTAAAGTGCCTCCAGTTCTATACATTTTAATCAAACAAATAGTGCTGCTACTAAGAAAACACAATTTATTCATTGAGACAGACAGGTTTTATTGCACTGGGTGACACCTCTGTAGAACAAAATCTAGCCCTGACTAAAGGGCCAAAAGAAGGTGAATGCAGAGGAGTCTATTTCAGTCTTAATGAAATCAGTTCCTTTATTGTTGATTTATTTAAATGCTCTTTATTGGATCTATTTATGTTTGGTGCAAGGAAGACAGTTTATTACAGCAATGATTTCAGGCGTGCAGTAAAAAATCTTTTCTGGATGCTGGGTGTCCTTTGCAAATAGTAGAATACAAGTGAAAGATCTGGGCATTCTCTTTCCAGTAGTGAAGGATTTCTAAATACCAGTCAATATGCTCAGTTTGAGGGCTCAGCAGTGCCCCACACCATCTTTGCTATACTGATTGTGTTCTTTATATACTTTTTACCTTATCTGCATCCTTCTCATCCACAATTTCAAAGGAGCCATCTTCTGATACCTGGTAGGTTGCTGGCTGATAGAGCTCTGGAACCAGAGAAAGAGTTAAATGACACAAAGCACAGTACTATACAGAGAAATAAATGGCAAGGCATGTCACACTTTCACCAAGAAAAATGAAATCCAAACCATTTTCAAGTTACTGACCTCACTGTCCTTCCCTTTGTCCATTTCAAATTTTATCCAGTTTCTTAGTCTTTAGTTTCTTAGGGTTTTTTTTTTTTATAAGTCAGTTTGAATACTGAACTGCCTTCCTGTTTAGTATTCCAACCTTCTTTCTTCACAAGAATTATTCTCATCAAAACCCATTTTACTCCTTATTTTGTTCCAGTCACTGTCTTGTTTCCCTTTCAGAAGGCATAAATGTGCCCCAGCTTTACATATCATTCTCTCTTCTGGCATTTCTTAAGTCAGTCTAGTGAGATAGCACTCACAAGAGTTATTAGTGACTTGTGGCCAGCCTTTCACTTTTAATTTTATCCAATTATCTTTATCCTATTCACTTTTAATTTTATCCATCAACTGCTTCAGATACTGCAGGCTGCTCTTCTTTCATAGCTTCAGCACATGTGGTTTTCCAAGCCCTCCCCTGAGAGAGCTTCTCTCCATGAACCTGATATTTATAAAGATGAAGTCATCTTTTTACTACACACTGTAAAATATGAGCATTATCTCTGTTCTGTGACTTAACAGGACCTTATTTTACAAAGTATGACTCATATGACATACATAGATTCCCATACACATGACACCACTTCTCCTGTGAAGACAGACTGAGTTTGGGTTGAGAAAAGAAGGCTCCAGGGAGACCTTATTGTGACTTTCCAATATCTAAAGGGGGCCTATAAGAAAGACAGGCAGACTTTTTACCAAGGCCTGTAGTGACAGGACAAGGTAATGGTTTCAAACTGAAAGAGGGGAGATACAGATTAGATATTAGGAAGAAATTCTTTACTGTGAAAGTGGTGAGACACTGGAACAGGTTGCCCAAAGAAGCTGTAGATGTCCCACTGCTGGAAGTGCTCAAGGCCAGGCTGGATGGAGCTCTGAGCAACCTCCTCAAGTGAATGGCAGGGGGGAATGGACTAGAAATGGAATACATGATCTTCAAGGTCTCTTCCAACCCAAACCACTCTATGATTCTAGGACTCCAAGGTTGTAAACAAAATAAAAACAGTTTAAAGAAAACATTGTAGCAGCACACGTATCTAGGCAAAATTACCCTGGTGTTATACAGCAGCCTGCATTCACTTAATCTGAAGGTTTTAAAGTCAAAGAAGGGGAAAATAGAGTCATATTTTATGAGGCATAAAGTTAAGCTGTCCATCTTCTGGATGACACTGCAACAGAACGAGCTACTCCTGTATGCATAGAAAAGCAACATAAACAAACAGAAGATGGGCGATGTGAAGTCAGGCTGCCACAAGAATCTCTCTTTTCATTTCTCCAGTTTTCAGAGATTCAGTTAGTAACATGAATATTTCATTAAATTACAACTTATTTGTCAGCCTCCTGGCTTTTTTTCCTAGAGAAAAGAATGAGCAGGCAAAATCCAAACCTGGTAAACATCAAAGATGACAAGCTATAACACTGACAAGATACTTAAATAATTTAAATGATCTAAAGCTGAAGAGGCTGCCCTGAGTATCAAAGCACCTACTGCTTTACAGGATGGGGAAAAGGATGATGTCAGAATCATGTTTGCATTACAAACTACCTGCAGCACGAATTGAAGAGACTCCTGTTCACACTGGGGAGCATAACACTGCATCAATGCCAAAATGTTCTCTCTGCCTCCTTTTCCAGATCTTTCAATATTTTATCTGTCCTCCTTCCAGCCTCCAGACATAGTGCACAGTAAGTTATGTACCATATGGGATGAAGGGACGGTCACTCGGAGGGTGCAGCAGAAAATGTTTCTCTCCAGATATCACGCAGTACAAGTTCTCATAATGATCTTTATGTACTAGAAGTGAGGAAAAAAAAAGATGTGGAGAAAGAGAAAATCAGTGTTCTTTCCTTCTCTGCAGCAGAAGCTACTGAAAGTGTCAGCTCATCCTCTTTATTAGCAGGCTGCTTCCTCCTGCAGCCAGTGGGAGCAGAAAGTCACAATATCGTGTTGTAGGAAAAATATTCCAGGAATAAAATGGTTTGTGTCTTGCCTGACAGAATGCCAGGTAAATACACTCAGGGACAAGCCTCAGGCAAGAGGCTGCAGAAGCACAGGAGAAAGAATGCAAAGAAGCATCTTAAAGCAGAACTGCCTTGTCAGAGAGAACACCCAGTCCTGCTGAGCCACCAACCCAGGAGCCCCCTGACACCTCTGCTGGGGGCACACAGGAGGCACACAGCACCTCACAATACGTACAAGATGTCACGGCAGCTGACTCCCCAAGCCAGAAATTCACAGCATCAGGCTTCTTCCCTGCATGGGGAGGGGAGAGAGAAACATCATCCACAAAAAATAGAATTCTAAGTGTCATGCTTAAAAGCATTTCAAAGAATTTGCTGTCAATTTCTGTCCTTCAACCTCCTACACAACTATGAAGAGTGTCACTGTAAATAGCACCCTGTGAGCAGCAGCAATGTCCTTCCACACTAGAAGCCACTGTAGCAACCCCCAGCATTCATGACCTAGTATCATCCATCCCCAAATTGAGGGTTACAACCTTCTGTTTCCACACCCTGAATCCCTAAGTCTTAGCTCACAGAGAAACTACAGCACATCTACATACAGATGCAAAAGGAACCTGAGATCCCCTTCTCCTAGGGCTCTCCTCCGAGGACAGGCTGAGAGCTGGGGTTGTTCAGCCTGGGGAGAAGGCTCTGGGGAGACCTTCCCATGGCCTTTCAGTACTTAAAGGGGGCCTGTAAGAGAGATGGGGACAATCTACATATAGCAGGAGCTGTTGTGAGAGGACAAGGGGTGATAGTTTTAAATTAAAAGAGGGGAGATTTAGATTAAATGGAAGAATTTTTTTTTTACTATGAGGGTGGTGAAACACCAGCACAGGTTGCTCAGAGAAGTGGTCAATGCCCCATCCCTGGAAACATTCAAGGTCAGGTTAGAGAGAGCTCTGGACAACCTGCTCTAGTTGGAGATGTTCCTGCTCACTGCAGGGGGTTGGACTAGATGATCTTTAAAGGTCTCTTCCAACCCAAACCATCCTATGATTCTACAACCACAGTAAATAATTGTCACTGATTTTTTTAAGGAAAGGGCTGCTGTAAAACAGAAACCAACAGAACAGCCTTTAACTAGACCCAAACCTCTGGGATTCTCCCAAGGGGGCTGGGGGCTGTGTGTTGTTTTGCTCGTTCATTTTGCCAGCTTTGGGAGCAATAGCACAGATCTGAGTCCAAACATCACAGAACCACAGAATGCTTTGAGTTGGAAGGGACCTCAAAATGTCTAGTCCAACACCCTACATCCCCAGCTACATCAGGTTGCTCAGAGCCCCATCAAGCCTGACCTAGAATGTCTCCAGGGATGGGGCCTCCACCAGCAGGCTCTGGAGAGCCTGTTCCAGTGTTTCACCACCCTAAATGTGACTCTAAATCACAGAAAAGCCATGGTATGGAAAGAAGTGCTGCATGGCACTGTCACCACATGGTTTCAGGTGTCATGGTCCCACTGCAGAACTGATACTGATTCTGGAGTAATCCAAACCCAAAACTTGGACTACCCTACTATGAAGTATTTTACCACTTGTACTTACTAAGAGGATGGAACTGAACTCAGCTGTGGCATCCAGAAACAGAACAACATCCACCATGTACCTGGCATGACCGTTTTAAAGCTCCATACAAAACATTCACTGAAGGCAGGAGAAGCAGAAGCTTTACCAAGTGCCTCACTCATCCACGGTATGTCGGGCTGCACATCACAGAGCAGCTCAGGGAACTCCTCGGTGAGGTTAGAGCACTGCTTCTGCACGTAGAATACGTTGGGAGAGGTCACTTTCTTCTCCACAATGTCCAAGAAGTCCATGAAAGGCATCTGGCGCTCCTCTGGCATGACGAAACGGCCCTGAAACACCGCATCTGCATAACCATTGGGTGTCACTGCCACGCTCACCACCTTGGGGCCCACCACCTGCCTGCAAAACAAACCAGAGGTTCACAGCCAGACCTGCAGCTGGGCCCTACCATGGGTGCTGGTTACTCTAAAAACCACACATTTCATGGGCAGCAAGCATAAGAAGCCTGGCTTTCCATGGATGGGTGGAAAATCTAGATTAGATTTTCTACTGCCTGGTTGGGACACTTGTTCTGCTCCAATTGCTCCCTGTGGCCAAGGCAATTTGGAGCATCCTTTGCCTCTCTGAATTCCCTCCTGTCTAACAGGCGAGTTCACAAAGCAGCTCCTTTTCCCTCCATGCAGGCAGAGGGTCTTCCTCAGCCATTTCTTTCCACGACTCATGGTGGAGCTTGATATTCTCAGGACCGCTTGACCAAGTCAAATCTGGGTGGCCACATGTCCAAAAGCAGTCAAGGAGGGAGAAAGGGGTGCACAAAGACTGATGACACACACATCGTGAGGCTAACAGCCCTTAGTTCTGTAAGAAATTTAGCTTTAAGCCCACAGATTTAGGTCTAACACACAGATTTTAGCTCTAACTCTTAATTTTTAGCTACAAGGTGGAGCACTGGCCAACTGAGGTCAACTGACACCGACTACCAGTCCTGCCCCAAGGCTGGTTCATACCTGAGGTACGCTGAGGTCCATTTCTTCAGAGCTGGCCAGTGGCTGATGGCATTCTGAATTATACAAGGCTTATTCGGACTCACCCATTCCCGATAAAACTCCAGTGGGGATGGAGGTCTATCAAGATAGGGTATGGTCTCCATCCCCCCCAGCTCTGTCCAGGCAAAAGACAAACAGTTTTACTCAGCATCCTGAAACACCTTCTGCTATTGTATTAACTAGCTTCAAGTCCCACACCATGGTGCTCAACTGAAAGCAAGTGGATCCAAAAATTGCTGCGTTAAAACCTGGAGGCTGCAGGGGAGGATTCCAGAGCCAGACACACACCTCAGGCTGTTTGCTGCCCTGCTACTCTCCTGCTGTCAGCCAGAGGTGGGCATGCTGGGGGGCCCCACAGGAAAGCGTGTGTGAAGGACGCGCTACAGGAGATGCACATCCAATACAGAGATGATACCTTTTTGGAAGCTGAAACAGGGCTTTGTTTTGCTATTTTATACAAAGGAAAATAACCTAAAAAGGCCATATTCTCAAGTTTTGTT